CAATCATTTTTAGGTTTTCAAAGCCCCCAATTTCTGAACCGTTTGTTAAACTTAGGTGTTACAATGACAGTGTTACAATGACATTAGTTGGGTACTTGAAGCTTTTTGGTAGAGTAAAGTTCTTAGCTTTAAGGCCCTTTTCACATTGTTTTTGTTTGTGTACAATGTTTATGGAGTACATGTTTATGGAATATTAGTCCAATGTATTTATACTCTTCAACATTCTGAAGATTGTTGTTTAGTAGGATATAAGTATTATTTCTTATTTCCATTGAATATTGGACTTTTACACTTGAAAAACAGTTATCTTAAGCTCCCATCTATCACAATATTCGCTAAAAAACAACCAATTGTTTCTGTGATTCCAGTTTGTTAGTGGCTAGTAACACAGCGTCATCAGCATTAAATACGACAAATAATTTTATGAATATTCTCAATTGTTCATCATCAAAAGTAACATCAATACATTGGTTACATGGGGGACATTAATTCGTCATCAAATCAATAGGTCACGCCAAGGGAAAAATACTCAAGGAGTCAAAACACCAAGTGTATATTGCAATTGCTTTTAATTTGTATCAATCTGAAACCTTTTACTCTGATACGATATTTTTCGGTGTGACCATATGACGACATCTCCAAAGAAAGTCGCATCAAGTCAACTCCCTTAACAGCCAATCAGCGTCGAGACTTCTAATTTCTCAGTGACCCTTTGAGCGAATCATTCAGACAAACATAATTATTTCTGTGTCACGTAAACGAACACAATAGGATGTTACTATTGCGAAACAAATGTTCTGCACCATTATATTGTTGCGGATAGTTTCTGGGCGCCATGGCATCTACGCCTCAGAGAGTGTACTATCAAGGGTATATTTGTGTTGTGTGTGGGAATCCGTTTGCTAAGATCGATATTTCCAAACATGGTAAAAACATGAAGCTCAAATCGTTTTAGAAAGCTGACATCTGATTGGCTCAAGAACCCATGCACCCTTATTTAGATTGGGCGGTCAAAGTTTGCTCATTGTTCATCGGACTTGACCTTTTATGAAAGTGTGTTCAGAGTGAGTGAGTGAGTTTGGTTTTACGCTGCTTTTAGCAATATTCCAGCCCACGTGTTTAGAACGACAGGAATCGTGTCGGTGTAACCATTCTGAATTTAATGAGATTGCATTTGTGTCAACTTTGTCGTCATAAAACCTTTCAAAACTGTATATCGATATGTTTTAGCGAAACAATCAGCAACAATATAAAATTCATCATTAGCATCAATAACTGACTAAATATCAATTATGATGCTCCCTGGCAATATGTATTTAGATGAGAAATATGTATTTAAATTGAGATAAGTTCAGTCAAGCGTCAACGCTGACACATCCTGCGACTACATCTAGAGTGAGTGAGTATGCTCTTACGCCGCTTTTAGCAATATTCCAGCAATATCACGACGGGGGACACCAGACATGGACGTCACACATTGTACCCATTTTGAGATTCGAACCCGGGTCTTTGGCGTGACGAGCGAATGCTTTAACCACAAGGCTACCCCACCGCCCCGACGTCCTTTAGAACATAGTTCAAATATAACATTGGACATAGACAGAATAACAAAAAAGCTCAAACCTTAGTGGCATTTCACTGCTCCAACCTGGTCCATGTATTGAGCATCTCTCACGAGATACCTAATATCATTATATCCTATATGTATGTAGATACGCGTCACTAGATACTGCGCCATGTGCAACCAGCTTATAGTCATAGAATCTATCGCCATATTAATGTGCATCCAACGAATTCACTTCAAGCTTTTATTAGAGAAGAAAATGCACTGAATACTCGTGAAGAACTGGGGTAGAATAGGTCTTCAGCAACACATGCTTGCCGTAAAAGGCGACTAACAGGATACGGTGGTCAGGCTCGCTGACTTGGTTGATGCATGTCATCGATCCCAATTGCGTAGATCGATGCTCGTGATATCTATCACTGCATTGTCTGGTCCAGACTCGATTATTTACAGACTCATAGCTGTAATATTGCTGGTTGCGGCGTTAAACAAAAAAAACCACATGTACTGACAAGCCATAAGTGAGAGGCGACTAACAGGATCGGGTGGTCACGCTCGCTGACTTGGTTGATGCATGTCCTCGGTCCCAATTTCTCGGATCGATGCTCATGATGTCAATCACTGGATTGTCTGGTCAAGACTCGATTATTTACAGGCTCATAGCTGTAATATTGCTGGTTGCGGCTTTAAACAAAAAAAACCACATGTACTGACAAGCCATAAGTGAGAGGCGACTAACAGGATCGGGTGGTCAGGATCGCTGACTTGGTTGATGCATGTCCTCGGTCCCATTTGCGTGGATCGATGCTCATGATGTCAATCACTGGGTTGTCTGGTCCAGACTCGATTATTTACAGACCGCCGTCATATGGCTGGAATATTGCTGAGTGTGGCGTTTAACAACAAACAAACAAAACAAACAAGCCATTTCCTAACGTCATTGCATTAACATGAAACATATTATTATAGTAGCTGTTAAGGACATTACTGAATCGATATTTACAGACATAAATTCATTAAAATATTTTGAGACTTGTACATCAACCAATTCAAGGACGAACATGTTCAACAGCTGTTTTCAAAAGTTCATCAAATGCATGCCCATCGAAAACCAGTGCCATACTTGTTACCAGAACACAATATGGCCTCATTAAAACAGACATATCTGGATTAATATTGTACATAGAGACTGCCCCATCAGTCTGACAGAATGCATGCAACAGATGTGACCAGATTGTACCGTTACTGTGCTCCAGTTATGAGAAATGCATGAGGGCAGAATGGCGGTATGCATGCATGGTGTGAAGCTTCAGGCAAGATTTGGAATAGTCCATAATCTGATCCGGGTAGAACAACAGCAAAAAACATGTACTGACAGGCCATAAGTCTATAGTACACATCTGTATGGATAGTAGATATAAAAAAATAATGTTTAATTGCTAATGTCGCATGTCTTACCATTTCTTAGACCTGTAAAGATCCGGGGTAGAATAGGTCTTCAGCAACCCATGCTTGCCATAAAAGGTGACTATGCTTGTCGTAAGAGGCGACTAATGGGATCGGGTGGTCAGGCTCACTGACTTGGTTGATGCATGTTATCGTATCCCAATTGCGTGGATCGATGCTTATGATGTCTATCACTGGATTGTTTGGTCCAGACTTGATTATTTACAGACCGCCGTCATATAACCGGAAAATTGCTGAGTGCGGCGTTAAACAACAAACAAACACAATCTGTTCCGCAAAATCTCCCGCGATATTATAACTGTTTGCTAAACGCTTGACCAAGGTCACACTCTATATATAAAATGGCCTGTATTCTGTCGCTGATAGCTTTTAGTGGATTTATACAATATGAAAATGTCAGAATTAAATATTAAGTACTTGAGGAAATGTGGCTTACCATGGCCACGAGTGGATATAGGGAAGAAAGTTTACACCTGGTCACGTATGAGACAACACGAGCTAGGAGGCGAGGAACACCCGCTCTAGAGACACTGCACACCAGCACACCTGCATACCGCTTGTCTCCGACTCAGTGAGTAAGTGAGTGAGTTGGGTTAAACGCCCCTTTTAACAGTATTTCAGTATTTGTATATGAAGTACCTAGAGGTTCATAGGATTACACATTTTATATAGATACACCGCCTGAAGAAACGCGAACCAAAGAAACATATTGAGAAGTATGTCCGTTAAGAGTGAATGAGTGAGTGAGTTGGGTTTAACGCCGCTTTTAACAGTATTCCAGTTATATCGCGGCGTGTCAGCCTAATGTGGGAGGAAAGCTCTAAGTGATGCAGGTCTTAGACGTTTACCACTTCGGTGAAACCCAAGAGCACGGGTATGCTGCTGACAAACCTAGAAACATAATCGGCGAACCCGTATTCGAACCCACAATCATACGTTTCTAGGGTGCCCAAGGGACGCAACTCTGTACAGCGAATTGTGGCGCCTTTGACGACTGGGCCACTCGTGCCCCCGACTCCGAATCAGCCAGAAGCCGCCATGTATCGCCATGATAAACGCAACCACTGGTTCATATTCGTCACTTGACAAAGAGCTTGACAGTCGCCATTTTTTCCTTCAGCCTGTGACCACATAATGCAGAGGAAAATCCAATATTGGGTGACTCCATCGTCTCATTTTGTATCCATTGTCATACAAGACATAATCATCTTGAATGTTTGATACATTTGACCCTGGTTTCGTCAGGGCATATGGTATAAATTCAACGCACCGTTTACTGTGTATTAGACACTAATGATGGACATGAAGACTTTAAAGTTAAAAAGAAGAAAATGAAAAAGATACTTAAGCGTTAAAACTGAAGCATGGAAGAAAAAGCATGTGTTTTCTCATGAATCGCGTTAGTGATATAGACAATAGCTACACAGAAGATGTAATAATATCACAATATCCAAACCTGTTTTGATGTTATGTGATAGTTCTGATAGATCTTCTTTTCTAGTTTTGGAAGTTTATGATTGTGATGAGGAAAGGACATTTGTCGAAGATTGTGTAACTTGGAACACTGTTGTAAAATTTATCTCACATTCACATATCACAAAAAGTAAATATTCTTCCAGTGGCTATACGAAAGAAACTATTCCAAACATCGAGTTTTCTGAAAGAACAAAGCTATTCAAATCAAAATACTTTCATTTTGAAGGCGCAGCATTTTGCCTAAAATGTACATAATTTTAATAGATAATAACATCACACCCACATCCACATCCACACCCACATCCACACCCACATCCACATCCACATCCACAACCACACCCACATCCACATCCACACCCACACCCACATCCACATCCACACCCACACCCACACCCACACCCACACCCACACCCACACTACATATTGTTTAAATTAAACCACCTTGGAACAATGTCATTTTTGTGGCAGTAGATTTTTTTTATTTACAACAATCTGCAGCATAATTATTTGTTTCTAGAATTTTCGGGGACAATTTATTTTGTTCGTTTCGACACTTTATACAAACTTTTAGGTATATCACGACGTGTAAGTTTGATGTTAGACGAAAGCCTGAATTGATTCAGGCCTAGTTGGACATAAAGCACTTTTGTGAAACCCATAAACACGCCGCTGACAAACCTAGAAACATAATCGGAGCGAATCCACTTGCATTCTATGACTAGTTCGGATTTCCATTCCTCGACCCTCACTGATCCGCGTGTCTCCACTCATCAAGATTGAAGCACGCATCTATATGTTTGTTGATCGTAGGCAATTATTGGGCAACGTAGATCGTGAGGAATTCTTCAAAGTTTAGTTTGCCATCACCGTCCTTGTCACACGTGGCTATAAGGTCCTGGATCTGGTTCTGGCTGAGAGGTTGGCCTGCCTTGGACATGATGATCTGAAATTCCTCCTGGGTCACGTAGCCATCTTTATTGACGTCATATACGTCAAATATACGTCTGACTCTTGCAGCCCTATAACATAATATATGGTTATAAGAACTTGGTATATTTAACGACAGGGACGTTGTTAAGACAAAATAGAGATAACACGCGAGTGTGTTTGTGGATGGTTAATATCCTGTATTAGGAATAACCATTGTATTGGGCGAGTCTTGGCGAGCTAAATACATGGTGTTATTCCTAATAAGGATATTTACCATCCCTCTTTATCATAATGACATTCTCTTCGTGACTAACGGGTGGTCACGCTCGCTGACTCGGTTGATGCATGTCATCGTATCCCATTTGCGTATATCGATGCTCATGATGTCCATCACTAGATTGTCTGGTCCAGATTCGATAATTTACATACCGCCGTCATATAGCGGGATTATTACTAAGTGCGGCGTTTAACAACAAACAAACAAACAAACAGAACATATTCAACCAAAACCGAGGAAGGGTGCTTTATTTGTCATATAAACCGTCTAAGTTCAAGGGAAAAAAACAAAAAAACATAGGGACACCTTATAGTGAGACAATAGCGTAGCGCTACATAACGAAAGCGCCGACAGCGTGCGAGAGAAAGACCACGTCAAGCATGCAGACCCCTGAACACCCATTCGTCACCACTTGCCCCTTTCCGTCACCTGTCCCGGAATAACACGAGTCGGTCACGAATGCTGAACACCCTTTCATCACCGACCCGAGTGTTTACGTTTGCAATCAAATCCGACAGACAGTGTTTTATCTTATAAGCCGGGAAAAAAAACATTCATCAACAATGACATGTTTCCAGGACACAGTCCATGAACCTGAGGAAGCGGACGTAAAATACACCGTTCTGGCGTACATGTGCTTGAAAAACACATTTTAAAAAGCATATCGGATTATCAGAGGCTCAGCAGCCTAGCGCTTCACTCACAAGGGACGATCTGGAACAAGTCCGTGGATTATTCTATAGACTCTGTTTCGGCAGACCGGAGATTATCCTGAGAAAAGGAGAACCTCTAATACCTAAGGGGTGGCAATCATGACGTCACTTGTGGTTTATATCTACGTATCCTGACCCACTCACACAAAATCGGCAGAATCAGGAGGAGACAACCGAGGAAGGACTGCAAGAAACTCGTCCAGCGTGATCTTCCAGTTCTCGTCTTTATCCATCTGCATAAAGACTCTCTGGAAAGAAGTCCGTTTAAACATTGAATATTCTAATGTAACTATACAATATGGCAATGGAAGAACCAAGTTCTTAACCCCAAATTGCTGTCATGCAACGATTGTAACTAATTAAATACAGTAAACTACGGTTATAACGAACACGCTTATAACGAACTGACGGATATAACGAACTACTTTTTTGGTCCCGATAATTAGCTGTATTATGCTGTATATATGCTTATAACGAACTACGGTTATAACGAACTAAAATTAGTAGTCCCTTTGAGTTCGTTATAACCGTACTTTACTGTATACTGACCACAAACAGTTAGGGATCATGAATATTTGGGGGATTTGGTAGTGAAGACTGAGCACACCATTTCAAAAACTACCCCCAAGATTATTCATGATTCCTAAATTTTGTTGTATACTGATTAACTCTTTTCCCTCTGGCTTTACCTTTATGATGGGACCCGTGAAGATCCGGGGTAGACTAGGTCTTCAGCAACCCATGCTTGCCGTAAAAGGCGACTATGCTTGTCGTAAGAGGCGACTAACGGGATCGGGTGGTCAGGCTCGCTGACTTGGTTGATGCATGTCATCGTATCCCAATTGAGTGGGTCGATGCTCATGATATCAATCGCTGGATTGTCTGGTCAATAACTCGATTATTAACAGACCGCCGTCATATAGCTGGAATATTGCTGAGTGCGGCGTAAAACAACAAATCAACGAAACAACTGTATGATGTTATCTTATATTAGTACATTCATCCTACCCTGTGTAACGTATCAGGATGTATTATGCCTCACGGTGAGATTGACCAATCAGAGAGCAGAACTACTAACCCAATATGAGCCCGTCTACCGTCAGTAAAAATCCAAGATTGTTGTCACTGACCAAATATGAGACCGTATACCGTCAGTAACAGCCATTTTGGATTTTCCAACACCCACCTCACATATTTCACATGAAAATTCTGGTACAGAAATATGTTATTCGACACTGTTTTGTGTTTTAATATCATAAATTTTGATGTGCAAAGATATTTATAATTTTTTTAGATGACGTTCGTGACTTTATTCATGAAGATTGAAGTTAAAATTATCAAGGTTTGGCCTCTAATGTTTGAAGAGTAGCCTCCCTTTGACCCTAAACGTCAACGGTTGCACGTGTCAAGTTTTCATTTTGACATGACATGTGCGAGACGGGTACCAGGAAGTGTAAACCTTTCGACATAATAAAATCGTTATGGTGTCTTTAGTTGCCGCATATGGTGTTTTATAAGGTAAGTAGAAAAAATATGGGACTTGGCTGAAGCCTCGCCCCATATTTTTCTGCTAACCTAATATGACACTACATACGGCAAATAAAGTTGGTTGGTTGGTTTGTTGTTTAACGCCGCACTCAGCAATATTCCAGCTATATGACGGCGGTCTGTAAATAATCGAATCTGGACCAGACAATCCAGTGATTGATATCATGAGCATCGATCCACGCAATTGGAATCCATGACATGCATCAACCAAGTCAGCGAGCCTGACCACCCGATCCCGTTAGTCGCCTTTTACGACAAGCATAGTCGCCTTTTACGGCAAGCATGGGTTGCTGGAGACCTATTCTACCCCGGATCCTACAATAATTAATAACATACTACTCAAAAGTTAAAGAAAATAGATATATATATTGCTCAGTGTTTGCCGGATGTGGGACGAGAGCGTAGCCCTGAGATGTCGCTACAAAAACCAAGAAGTTTTTATCCTTAAACAGTTTTGTGTCTTCATGCTCATCCAAATTCTTAATGCACTTCACATGTGATAACTTAAGTAGTATCATCATATAACTTTAAAGAACGGAGACTGCATCCTATTATGACAAAACGTCGAGAGTGAAATACGATGCAGGATCGACTTACAGCAATGTCTGCTTTAGGCACTCTATGGCCACAGAATATCATCAGTTTTTCAAACTCGTCCATAGTCAGCGCGCCGTCCCCATTGCCAGATTCCGCGTCTACCTTCAGGAAAATCTCAGTGTAGGCCATCTTGTCTTCGTGGGCGAGTTGGGCCATGGCTGTCTGAAGCTGTGTGTCACTGTAGAGTCTCTGTGACGCCTCGTGGATGCATTGTAAGTTAACGGTAGATCTCGAGGCGGCATGTATCAGATCCTGTTCAGTGACTGTTGATGTCAGGATACATCTCGGAGTGGCAACATCCTCGACCACATCCGCGTTGACCCCTCATCGTCTAATCTGCGCTGCACACAGGAGTCTGTAGAGTCCCGTTAGTGGAGCGATCGCGTAGGCTGATTAACTGTAACGTTATAACAGACACTGAACACATTCGTTCAATCTACTCTTTGTCACAACGATTCTAAATGTTCAACGTGCAACTCGGCAAAGACATGTAATCGGTTAACTAATAGACAAATTGGACATATTAAAAGGTGAGGTGAAATGAGGTTTAACGTCGCGTTCAAGATTACTGCGCTGATATAGCGATGCGCACGTGTAAGTGCTTGTACTAACCAGGACTAATGCCGATTTTACTGCGCTTACCCACTGAGATACCGTTCCGCAGTTTAAGAAACATATTGAGAAGTATGTCCGTTAAGAGTGAGTGAGTGAGTGAGTGAGTTGGGTTTAACGCCGCTTTTAACAGTATTTCAGTTATATCACGGCTTAATGTGGGAGGAAAGCCCAAAGTGATGCAGGTCTCAGGCGTTTACCATTTCGGTGAAACCCACAAGCACGGGCATGGTGCTGACAAACCTAGAAACATGATCGGGGCGAACCGGGATTCGAACCCACAATCATAGGTTTCTGGCGTGGCCAAGGGATGCAACTCTGTACAGCAATTCGCGGCGCTTTATATATAATTCACGGCCACCCGTGACCCCCTATGACCGTTAAGAAGAGATGTTCCAATGTGTACACTTCATGACAAAACAACCAGTCAAGTGTTACCACAGTGTTTTTATTCTTATCACGATATGCTGCACGTGATTTCCAAACTTTACACGCTAATCCTGCAGAGACAAATGATGCATCTCGACTCATGGATCAATGACGTCACATGTGATGCGATCATGAACGTCGGTTCACACAACATACCAGTATGTTCGTTTGTGCATCAAACCAAATTTTTATATCTTTTGAATATGAGTAATTCTTCATATATTTACCAACAAGTATGGTATTTGTGGGTTTTTGTCGGCGAGTATATGTAGAAAGTGTAATCCCACACGCCCAGCAAGTTGACAACGAAATCCATGTACTCCGTGGCAGTTATCCCAAAGTTTCTGTTTGTTTGTTTGTTTGTTTGTTTGTTTAACGCCGCACTCAGCAATATTCCAGCTATATGACGTCGGTCTGTAAAATAATCGAGTCTGGACAAAACAATCCAATTGGGGTCCGATGACATGCATCAAACAAGTCAGCGAGCCTGACCACCCGATCCCGTTAGTCGCCTCTTACGACAAGCATAGTCACCTTTTACGGATAATTATAGTCGCCTTTAACCTGGAACCACTTTGCCAATGACGGTCACAGGACCAACAACACCATTGGAGAGTGGCAGCATAAGAGTGGCCCTGATATCGTGCTGTCGCAATATGTATCTCTTTATGACAATGATAAACAGAGAACAGTCAAGCAGTGAGGTAAAGATGGCTCAAGTTATCGGACACAGACCAGCTAGGTAGACTCAGACCCGTGAAGATTCTGGGGTAGAATAAGTCTTCAGCAACCCATGCTTGCCGTAAAAGGTGACTATGCTTGTCGTAAGAGGCGACTAACGGGATCGGGTGGTCAGGCTCGCTAACATGGTTTATGCATGTCATCGAACCCAATTGCGTGGACCGATGTTCATGATATTAATCACTGACTTGTCTGGTCCAGACTCGATTATTTAGAGACCGCCGTCATATAGCTGTAATATTGCTGAGTGCGGCGTTAAACAATAAACCAACCAACCAACCAACCAACTTAACCAATGCTCATAATTCCGACTTAGGGCAGGTGGCCAGTCACCTCCCATCCGTATTTCATTTATTTAATGTCGTGGATAGAAAAAAATAAATGGTGATATGTGTTAAAATATTTGTTGAAATTATTGAACGACATCATGCGAAAATGTGTTGTGAGTGAGTGAGTGAGTATGGTTTTACGCCGCTTTTAGCAATATTCCAGCAATATCCAGGCGGGGGACACCAGAAATGGGCTTCACACATTGTACCCATGTCGGGAATCGAACCCGTGTCTTCGGCGTGACGATCGAACGCTTTAACCACTAGGCTACCCGACCGACCCCAAAAATGTGTTGTAAATTGGATGTAAGATGTACATTCACCAGTCACCACCCACTCACTTTTGTCTTACACCCCTCACAAAATAAATAGGTAGATCCCAAGCGACCGTCATGTCTGGCCGATTCGTCCGATCAGGATGGAATGCACTCGAGCTTTTTTCGATCGATCACCTCAAATTGATTCTGTTAATTCGACCGATCAGTGAGTGATGAGTGTAGTTTAACGCCGCTTTTAGCAACAGTCCAGTTATATCACGGCGGGGGACTCAAGAAATGGGCTTCACACATTGTACCCATGTCGGGAATCGACCCCGGGTCTTCAGCGTGACGAGCTCGACCGATCAGGATGTAACCGAATGCTAATAGCTGAAAACACGCTGAAACATATTGAAGTCCTCATGAATATACACTAGAATGTACACAAGTTCCTGCTTTGTGTCGGCATTAACAAGCGTGTGCCCCCACCCCCCCCCCCCAGGGCCAACAGACCTGTTCTTGTCCTTTTTGATAAATCCAATGAAACCATTTATATCATTTCTGTCCCTTTTGACACTAATGTGATGGACAAGATTGAGAAAAGGCATGGCAAATGTGCAGACCTCGCTTTCGAAATGTCACGCTTGCATCCCAAGTACCAAGTTGTCTGACTCCCCATTGTTCTCGGTGCCTTAGGTTTGGTACCTCCCAATCTGTTGACTGACATCGGGAGAGTACCCGGGTTTGCTACCAAGAATACAGCCCTTCTGACAATCTGGGTAATGCAGAAGGCTGCAGTGTTGGGGAGTCTTCACATTCTCCGAAAAGTTCTGGGTAGGTTTGACTAGGCAGCGCTTCCTGTGAGAAGTCCCATTCGCTGTCTGGGCTGAGTGTAGAGGGGGCAAGGGCCCTGAGCTGATAATGAGCCTAACCAGCCTGACTGAGCCAGGATCACCCTGTGCCAGGACCAACCCTCTTTGCTGCATTTTTTATTTTAATCTGTAAATGATGATGATGATGATGATGATGATGATGATAACAATAATATAAAAGAAGAAAAAAGAAAAAAAATATAGAAAGAAAAAATATAATCATAAATTCATAAATTTAATATTTTAGATGTTGATGTGTATGATCTTGTATGTATATTAGTTAATGCACAATAGGTAAAACACTCCTTTATGATGTGTGGGGCGTGTGTGCAGGTAATATATGTGTACATCGGAATGTGTTGTGTGCGTCTTCCTCCCTCTCTCTCTCTCTCTCTCTCTCTCTCTCTCTCTCTCTCTCTCTCTCTCTCTCGTTCTCTCTCTCCCTGTCTCTCTCTATCGTTCTCTCTCTCTCTATCGTTCTCTCTCTCTCTCGTTCTCTCTCTCCCCTCTCTCTCTCTCTATCGTTCTCTCTCTCTCGTTCTCTCTCTCCCCTCTCTCTCTCTCTCTATCGTTCTCTCTCTCTCTCTCTCTCTCTCTCTCTCTCTCTCTCTCTCTCTCTCTCTCTCTCGTTCTCTCTCTCTCTCTCTCTCAATATGACGAATCGGTGGATTGAACTAAGCGTTGTTTATAACAACTGCTCTACGTGGTGGAAACCTTTCGGAGAACCGGGCCACGATTGCACACATTTCACAAACAAGGGAGAGATATCGTTGTCAACAATCCTCTGGTGGCGTCACAGGAAGTACGCGGCTGTCTGTATATATACATATACAGCTGTCACCCACAAACACAACAACATCGACAACAGCTGGTGAAGCTAACTCGTCAAATCTCGTAACAATGTCTCACTTATCTCAACAGGAGAAACTGTTGTACACTGACTTCTTCCTGAGACTGGATGCCGAGCAAGGGGATGGGGATGGGGCGCTGAACATCGCGGAGTTTGAGAAGCTGCTGCTGACGCTGGGATTTAGATTAAGCAAAGAACAAGTTGCGGTGAGGATATGTTTATGTTACTTGTTATTGTTGATGTTGTTGTTGTTGTCAGCAGAAGAAGTAGTGGTAGTAGTAGTAGTAGTAGTAGTAGCGATAGGAGGAGAAGTAGTAGATAGCAGTAGTAGTAGTAGTAGTGGTAGAAATGTTCCTACAAAACGTGGTGACCATTGATATAGTTACATATTTAACTTCAGAGGCTTAGGTCAACTTGTCAAAAATGAAAGCAAATGGAATCTGAATAATATGTGAATGACAGGCCTTCCTCATTCATAACATCTATAAAATCTAGGGGTCAGACATTTAGGCAAGAAGTAGGCATCCCCGTGGGATGGAATGCACTCTCCTTCTTCCTGATCTATTTCTTTATGCATATGAATCAGAATTTCTGCTCGTATTGGCAAAGAAAAACAAAGGCAATTTGGCAAAGAAGTTTAACTTATGTTTCGGGTATATTGGAGATCTGATACCGTTCAATAACCATCAAATAGCCAATTCCCTTCCACTGATTTACCCATCTGAACTAGAAGGAGACAAGTGAGACCGCTTCGGCTGTTCCATATTCAGATCTATGTTTAAAGTGACAAATTAAAACATTCTCCACAAGACTGTATGACAAGAGGGATGACTTTTCCGACAGTCAACTTTCCCTTCATGTCGAGCAATATTTCAGCAGCTCCGGCCTTTGGTGACAATCGAGCATGCCCTTTCTACCAACATTTCAAAGAGCGTCAAACAACTCATATTCCGTAGTTGTTTGATCAGGGTTACAACATTCATGGCCTTAGTAAAGGTCAAAAGTTTTATGGTAGACATGTGGAGGACATTTCCAAACTTGACGCATCAATGACAATAATGATGTCCGATGCAATTCTCTGTTGTCAGTAGCGGTCGGGTAGCCTAGTGGTTAAAGCGTTCGCTCGTCACGCCAAAGACCCGGGTTCGAATCCCGACATGGGTACAATGTGTGAAGCCCATTTCTTGTGTCCACCGCCGTGATATTGCTGGAATATTGCTTAATGCGGCGTAAAATCAAACTCACTCACTCTGTTGTGACCTGTATAATATGTTCCCGTGGGGTTTTTTTTAGGTGAAAACTTGACTTGTTTTTGCATGTATTTGTGACGGGTGCCACCGGTTGGCTAGGATAGCCCACCTTTTCGCGAACACCTTATTCATACATATACATGCTTATGATATAGTCGGAATCGTACAACCGGCAGAGATTCCATATGAGTTTGGAAAGGGTCTTGTTACTTTTATTGAATATCCGGAATGAATTGTGTTGTTCTGTTTCAGGCCGAGTTTATAAAAACCGATAAGGATCAGAACTGGAAGATTACTCTCGACGAGTTCCTGGTCACATTGCCTAATGTTGTCCCCCCAGGCTCGCCCCAGGCTATGTGAGTATACACGAAGTGTGACACAGGGTAACCTTTAGCTATGCTACCCACCCCAGGCCGTGTTATTATCCACTGGCATTATGTAACACTGAACCTGATGCTAATCACGTGACACAGGACACACTATCCTTACAAAATTGCTTCAGTTCTGTAACAGACCCGGGAACAACAGTTTGCATACCTCCAGACCGCCTCCGTGGTCTTGTGGTAGAGCGTCCGCCCGGAGAGCGGAAGGTCCGGGGTTCGATCCCCGACCGCGTCATACCAAAAGACAGTAAAAGATGGTACTTGTTGTTACCCTGTCTGGCGCTCGGCATTAAGGGGCTAAAACAAGGACTGGTCGGCTCGTAGTCAGTATACTGTGTCTGAGTGGGGTATTCATGTTAAACTGCGGCATGGTATCTCAGTGAGCTAGCACTATAAATCGGCATCAGTCCGAACTAGTACAAGCAGCCACACAAACACACACACGTACATGCACGTCGCTATATAAGTGCAGTAATCTTGGACGCGACGTTAAACCCCATTTCACCTCACCTCACCTTGCATACCTCCAGACTCTAATTCTCTGTCGGGGGCACGATTCGCTGTGCAGAGTTGCGTCCCTTGGGCACGCCAGAAACCTATGATTGTGAGTTCGAATCCCGGTTCGCCCCGATTATGTTTCTAGGTTTGTGAGCAGCATACCCGTGCTCGTGGGTTTCACTTAAGTGGTAAACGTCTGAGACCTGCATCACTTCGGGTTTCCTCCCACATTAAGCCGACACGCCGTGATGTAACTAGAATACTGTTAAAAGCGGCGTTAAACCCAACTCACTCACCCACTCACTAATTCTCTGCCAGTAACCAGCTGGTCTTGTAGATAAGGACTAAGTATTTATCTCACTATAATAAACTCGAAAATGAGTCTTCACAGCACCCATTTGGTCCCTCAACGTGTCCTTTGACCAGTGATCACCGAATGGCGCGGAATACCCAGAATTCTTTCGAATAATATAATAGTCAAGGATTCAAGGATTAAACGGTTGGTTGTCTAGGTACCGCGCCCTTTTTTAACCCGAGTAACCACTAAATGGTCCAAATAATATGAGAAGTTAATTTACGTCTTCCTTTGTTTTTTTAATTCTCCAAATTGGTTGCATTTCAGTGCCGCGACTATCCGACGCCGGTTTGACGAGAACGACTTGAACAAAGATGGGTACATTACATTTGATGAACTGAAGCAGGTGCTTGCTGACGCCAATCAAGGCAAAGATGAAGAGGAGCTCAAGTCTTTCGTAAGGGATTTCATAAAGAATTGGGACGCGGATGGAGATGGCAAGATCAATTTTGAGGAGTTCCTGGAGATGTTCATAGAGACCGAATTGGGTGATGAGGATGATGATGAAGATGATGATGAAGAAAAGGGGGAAGTGAAGGACAATGACGGAGAGGATTTTGATCAACGTAAAAACCCAATCTACATTCCGCGCGAATGATTTAAAGTAACATTTTACATTAATGTTTCGAGTTTTCGGCAATTTGATTACTTGATGTAAATATGAGGCAGTCTGGCATATAACGTCCATGTTATTGTTCTGTGAAAGATCTATGAGTGTATGAAAAGCGTACGGATCTTTAAAAACCTTAGATGTATACTCTGTCCCATTGTCAGAGTCCTGAGACCAATGTAACAAGCATTTCATTTCCATCACAGTGTAAGCCTTACTACAATAAACACAATGTATATGCAGACGTTGGCTATGCTCCAAGTCGTCATAACGACCAGTTTGAACAACTATCTTAAATTACTGCATCTAAATCGAGAGAGGACTACTTTCAAGTGTCTAGGGATTTCAGAACATAAATATATAGAATATATTAGAGTGTTATATTATAATATGATGTCAAATATGAAATTTATGTTTATTTTAAAGAAAGGAGAGTGAGTGAATGGATATGATTTTTTACGCCGCTTTTAGCACTATAACAGCAATATTACAGAAATGGGCTTCACACATTGTACCTATGTCGGTGAGAAGGGTGAAAGCTGTAACAGCAGTTTATATAAATCATTTACAAGGGACAGTAATTGCTGTTGCAAAGTATCCAACAATCTGTGTTTACATAAGACCGCCTGCGTGGTCTAGTGGAAGGTCCGGCACCGGGTCCACGTCATACCAAAATCACGTTAAAAGATGGTACTTGTTGTTACCCTGTCTGGCACCGGGAATGGGGTATTCGTGTTACCTCTTTACAAATGTGCTATTTAGTAGCATCATTATTCATCTTATTTGTGCTTATAATATTAGTAGCTTTAAAGGTGTTCATAAATAATTGATCAAATCCAATATGTTTCATATAAATTAAGAACATGATTTTAATAACACAACGAAGTTCATCAAAGTTTAAATTAAACATTGGATAATAGCAGTGCATATTGTTATATTGTTGTATTTGACAGTATGCATTACTGATTCATGAAATACTATAAATAAATATGTACTTGGATCTTATTATTTTGTTGTTCATATAATACACATACACAAACACACACACACACGCACACACACACACACAGACATATACACACACACATACACACATGTTTACACGCGCACACACACACACACATACACACGGTGTCCTCCCATTAGTTAGACGTCCCAATAGTTAGACAGCTTATAACAAAACTTTAAACGGTTGAGTGCACACTAATGCTTATGCTTGTAACCTCAGACTTTAAAATGGAATAGTCCAAATAAGATCTGATAAGCAAAGCAAAGCAGCTTTAAATAGATACTTTAATATTATACTTAACATTTAATGACACTTTACATTTGATAAATTTTATACAGTTTGTAACAACACTTTGTGACAGTTTTTGGTAATGTACACTTTACATTTAATAACTGTTACAGTTTATTTATCACCGACAGTCGTATATTCCTCATTGCACGTCTTGACGACACATCTCCAATATAACCATACACACATATACATACTTACACATACATCAATACATGCATACATCAATACATACATACATACATACATACATACATACATACATACATACATACATACATACATACACATACACATACATACATATAAACACACATGCACTCACACATTAACACATACACACACAAACATATATATATATATATATATATATATAATTATATATAAATAATTATATATATATATGTGTGTGTGTGTATATATATATATATATATATATATATATATATATATATATATATATATATATATATACACACCTGCATACACGCGCGCGCGATGTTGTAATGTCCACTATTGATTGATCAAGTTAGAGAGTGACTGACTCCGTGTCTTGGTTGGTTGAGTGAGTGAGTGATTATGCTTTTACGCCGCTTTTTGTCAATATTCCACCAGTGTTACGGCGGGGAACATTTGAATGGCATCACATACATTGTTGATCGTAAGTGAGTATGGTTTTACACCGCACTTAGCATTTTTCCTGCAAAATCACGGCGGGGGGCACCAGAAATGGGCTTCACACATGCTCAAATGTCTGCTCAACTTGCTTTACAGGAACATCTGTTGTGGTTTGTTTTCAAGCAATATATTCAAATAATATCACCATTGGATTAGAAAGAGTGTTTTTAGTGAGAATTGTTTTACACCGCTTTTAGCAATATTCCAGCAATATCATGGCTTGGGACACCAGAAATGGACTTCGCACATTGTACCCATGAATCGAGCCCGGGTCTTCTTGCGTGACGAGCGAACGCTTTAATCACGGGGCTTACCCATCGCCCAAAAGAAACTGAAATTGGTCTTATTGCGTGAAATGGATTAATGATGAATGAAAAAAGCATCTTCTTGTACTGAGTAAAAATGCACGACAAATTTAAATATAATTTAAGCGACGAAAAACATTTCCATACGCATAAGAAATATCTGCCAAAATTCGACAGAACGATTCCGACTGTATCAGAAGCATGTGTTTATGATTCACTACCAAATGCAGTAAACTACGGTTATAACGAACACGCTTATAACGAACTGACGGATATAACGAACTATATTTTTAGTCCTGTCTATTTGCTGTATACATTCCGTACATTTGCTTATAACGAACTACGGTTATAACGAATTAAAATAAGTGGTCCCTTTGAGTTCGTTATAACCGTAGTTTACCTGTAGTGATGATACCTGGTGCAGGCGAAGGTGAGCGTGTCGTACGGTAATGTGTGTTTCCCTGTGCGGTACCATACACACGTTGCATCGCAAACGCAATTCTATGCACTTTACGCCAGGAGTGAGTGAGTTGGGTTTAACGCCGCTTTGTTAGGCCGGGAGAATTGCCTCATTTTTCCGCGGTGTCATTTAACCCAATCCCGTTACAACCACCACTGCTTCAAATTTAAAACATGATTTGATTGCATGGTTTTTTTCTCGCAAAAATAGGTGATTTCACTTAAGGGGGCATGGGTGGTCCAGTTGTCAAAGGTGCCACAATTACTTGTATTATCCTCTTAATACCGAGCGCCAGGCAGGCTAACAACAAATATCATACTTTAACCTCTTTTGGGCCGTGCATAAACCTACCATCGTGTCTTCGAATCCTGATTATGTTTCTAGGTTTGTCAGCCCCACACCTGTGCCGCAGGGTTTCACCAAAGCGGTAAACGTCTAGGACGTGTATCACTTCGGGCTTACAGCCCACATTTAGTTGACACGCCATGATATGAATGAAATATTGTTCGAAGTGGCGTTGAATCAAACTAATTCAAAGATTTAAAGATAAATGGTGAAAAGATACAATGAAGATACATCATGTTAGTGCTGGTGAGGCGTTAAACAACAACAACAACAACAACAACAACAACAACAACAACACACCATATTTTTAGGTTTGGCAGCACCAAAACTGTCCTCGGGCTTTCACCGAAGCAGTAAACGTCTGAGACCTGTATCACTTCGGGCTTTTCTCCTAATTAAAGCTGACACGCCGTGATATAACTGGAATACAGTTCAAAGCGGCGTTAAACTAAACTCATCACTCATTCCAAAGACTTTTTAATCTTGGTAAGTAAAGATAACATGTATTGCACAACACTAGCACGAGTGGTTGTTTCAACAAAATAATGTCAAATTTAAACCTAAGTGTCGCCATGGGACGCCATATGTCTTGTAAATTCGAACCGTTCTCTACGTGTATAAAAAGATTCAAAACCAAGTTCATTCAGAATTCAACACGGGTGTTTTATTTCAAACCCATCACAAAAAGGCACTTTTTAAAACGGCAAGGAAAGTATCGAAACAACATGGACAAAAAAAACATCCTTGGATAGTGACAAGCAAACAGACTTTCATATGGACAGTGTTGCATGCTGGAATTAAAACATGATTTGAGACTGAATTCCATTGCTGAAATTAGGAATATCAATAAAGTGATATCTTAGAATTTAAATGTACTTTGTACAAATCAGTTTACAATTTCTTCACAACAGAAGACAAATATGCATGTAACTGAGTGTGATAGAATCTGATATATAGAAGCAAACAGCTTGTTTTCATCCATGTGAACAAAGGAGATCTAGAAGGCAAGTCCACCCATTCCCTGGTTTCCGCTGGTACCGCCCTGGTTCATTCCTGGTAGAACCTGGTTCATTCCTGGTAGACCCTGGTTCATTCCTGGTAGACCCTGGTTCATTCCTGGTAGAGCCTGGTTCATTCCTGGGAGACCTTGGTTCATCCCTCCAGCCATGTTGGGATTCTGCATGCCGAAGGAACCCATGCCGAGACCAAACTGACTCTGAGTGGTGAAAGGGGTGGTGGCAGACTGACTGTCGAAGCCGATCTTGCAGCACAGAGGGATGACATCCATGCAGGTGGATCCAGAGATCTGTCGAGAGGGACACAGAGCCAGCCCACGGCCGGTCAGCTCCTCGAAGGTCATGCTGTCGATGGTCTCAGAGGAGGTGGCGGTCTGACCCTGGAAGATTGTGACGGGGGTTCCCACGATGCCGCGGGGGTTGCGGGACTGGCTCCACCAGGAACGGTCTGTGAGAATGTCGCCGAGAGCCCGACTGGAACAGCCTTCTTCAACGCGGGAGCCTTCAGTAATGACGAACTGAAACCGTCCCTGAAGGGTGGAGGAAGTGCTAGCGGATACGACGGCTGACAGGCGGAGATTGCGTGGGCCTCCGAACTGGCTGTTCCATGGGGACTGGAATCTGTTGCCGTTGCTGCTGCCGAGGCTGAGAGTGACCCTCATCTCATCCCCGTTGGAGTTCTTACCAATACAAGTCTGATACAACGTGGGGTCCTCCTGGATCATCCCTCTCATCCCTACAGCTGCAGAAGCTGGCTGTCCCCATCCCCCAACCTGGGCTTGCTGCCCCATACCGCCCCACCACTGAGCGTTGGCGTGGTGAGAGACGACGGCCAAGACGGCAAACACTGCGACGACGAGGTGAGAGGCCATGACTGCTTAGAGTGAAGTACTACGGAGGATGGACCGAGTAGTTATGACTGGGCAGTGGTCAGCTGCCCGTTATATTGGCCAGGGCATGGGGAGTGCTGCCATGATTACATTGCCGTAGGGGATTCGTCGTTAAGGAAGTAATGCTCTAAAGGGTGTATAACGTTGTAAAGTAATTACTCACACCTGCAGAATATCAATTTGATATAATTAATCCACACCTTGCCGATATTGAAACATCTAGTTACTCAGAACACGCAACTGGTCATTATGTAATTAATGAATTCCCCACACCCTTTCAAGCCGTAATTAACACAGGGACTCTTCCTGATTGATCAATACCATCGATCTCGGTCCCTGCTTCCACTGTGTAGACATTCACAAAACTAGTTAATGTTAAGACGCCCATACATTTACTAACGAGACATTATGTGGTCGTATATGTGAAGGAAATATACAACTGACTGCATGGCGCCTCTGTGTTGAAAAATTACCACATATGACAACAATATTATTGCTGTTATCGTTGCTTTTGCAATACTATTTCTTCTTCTTCTTCTTCTTCTTCTTCTTCTTCTTCTTCTTCTAGTAATAGTAGTAAGTGGTGGTATTATTAGTAGTAGAAGCAGCAGCAGTTGTATGGATAGTAGAAGCGGTAGAAGTATATTGTTGTTGTTGTTGTTGTTGTAGTATATTGTTGTTGTTGTTGTTGTTGTTGTTGTTGTTGTTATTATTAGTTACTGTCGTAATAATAATTGAGTATGCAGTTGCAGCACCCCCCCTCCCCTGGATCTTTTTTAATAGAAAACAGTTTTATTTGAATCATGTGTGTGTGTGTATGTATGTATGTATGTATGTATGTATGTATGTATGTATGTATGTATGTATGTATGTATGTATGTATGTATTGATGTATGTATGTATTGATGTATGTATGTATTGATGTATTGATGTATTGATGTATGTATGTATTGATGTATTGATGTATGTATTGATGTATTGATATTACCAGAT